ACCCAAACCGGTAGTAAAAAATGCTTCCGGTTCACCCAAACCGGTAGTAAAAAATGCTTCCGGTTCACCCAAACCGGTAGTAAAAAATGCTTCCGGTTCACCCAAACCGGTAGTAAAAAATGCTACCGGTTCACCCAAACCGGTTGTCAGCTATGTGACAATCAGCTGTGCCACACAATTTATATTCGCTAGAAATCACGCAGCACAGCTGATAGTTGCACAGCGGATCATCGGAACTTTTAAAAAACCTTTTTCAGCATTTTTCTACTACCAGTTCGGGCGAATAGGTAGTAAAAATGCTTTAAAAGGGTTTTTAAAAAGTTTCCGATGATCAGCTGTGCGACAATGAGCTGTGCCGCGCAATTTATATTCGCTAGAAAGCAGAAAATTCTGCTTTCTGGCGAATGTAAATCGCGCGGCACAGCTGTCTCCCTCCCCCTCCCCCCATTCTACTTACCTTTGCAGACTGAGAAACGGTTTCTTAGCGCCTGTGGTGCGCATGCACACAAAGTGAACTTGGTAGCAGACTTCAGAGCATTTCACCCCTGGTTTGACTGTAAAGGCAGCCATTGACATTTCCGAGAGCAGTGTGGCAGATAACCATGCGCAATGTTTCTAGTTTGATAGGAGTTTGATGTTGACCGTCTGCCTGAAAGCTATTCCTGTAATGTTTCCGTCTGTTTCTGCCTTCAAATAGAAGTGGGCTCCTCTCTCCTGAGACATCCATCTCCTGAACTCTCTCGGTTAATCTCCGCCCACAGCTCTCTTTCCAGAGGAGAGAGAAACTTCCAGTGGCCCGTTCTGGCATTTGTAATTCAGCATCATGATTTGGAAGGACTCGAAATAGCCATGAAACAAGCTCTAAGAAAATCAGCTTGCCGGGTGTTTGCTATGGAGGTAAATTAATACGAATTGCCTTGTTGGTAAATGATGCACCAGCAGGACTTCTGCTTATAAAAGCATGAGCTGATTTTACTGCTCGTGGTTCACCCCAAAGGCATTGGAGAAATTAAAAGTCGAAACCTTTGACGTGGAGGAAAGCTACATCTCTGACACAAGTCACTGACATACTGTATTGCCATCTCCTCAGCTTCTTACGTTGCCACTGAAGCAGTCTTTAGTGTCTTGTGCAAAATTTGTGCCTAGATTCAGTGCCTAGTGTTTGTCGTGGCCCGCCAGTGGAGCTGGCAGCTGATTCAGACAGTGAGGAAGTTGGGGAGGAACATGGGCCAGTCCTGGAATCTGGGGAAGGCTCTGATGAGGGCTCTGTGTCGG